GTTGGTTTCTGAGAATTCCCCTGCCTACTCTGGACGACCATGCGTGTCTTTTGATGCTAGCCTGGGCTACCTCCAGGGGGCTGTCCGTGCGCAGTCCCAAGCCTTTCCAGATGATGATGACGATGATGATGATGATGATGATGATGATGATGATGATGGTGATGGTGATGGTGATGGTGATGGTGATGGTGATGATGGTGATGATGGTGATGATGGTGATGATGATGAGGAGGATGCTGCTGCTGCTGATGATTGTGCTGATTATGCTGATGATGCTGGCGACCATGATGATGTGATGCTGATGATGATGTTGGTGGTGATGATGATACTGACTATGTAGATGAAGATGCTGATGATGATTCTGAGGATGACGGTGATGATGATGCCGATGATGATACTGATGATGCTGGTGGTAATGATGCTGATGATGCTGATGATGATAATGACGATGATAATGTTGATGATCATGGTGATGTTGATCATGTTGATGCTGATGCTGATGCTGATGCTGATGCTGCTGCTGCTGATGCTGATGCTGATGCTGATGCTGATGCTGATGCTGATGATGATGCTGATGATGATGATGATGATGATGATGATGATGATGATGATGATGATGATGATGATGATGATGATGATGAGGATGATGGAGAGAAGGAGGAGGATAATGACAGGGTCAGAGGATGCTTCGCAGGAAACTGCGGGTGCCTTAGATCCCCTGGAAGTCCGGCAACGGAGATGCCCCCTTCGCGCGCCTGCCTATGCAAGCATCCAGGGCTTGTGCCGCAGCGCCGCCTGCCTGCCGTGGGAGTGCTCAAAGGGAACTCCGATCGCCTCGCGAGGCCTTCCGGCAGCAGCAGCAGCGCCAGAGGCAGAGCCAGCAGCACGCCGAGCCAGCACCAGCCCTCCTCCGCCTCCTCCTCCTGCTCCTCCTCCTCCTCCCCCCTCCTCCTCCTCCTCCTCCTCTCCCGCCTCCTCCTCCTCCTCCTCCTTCCTCCTCCCCTCCTCACTCCTCCTCCCTCCTCCTCCCTCCTCCCTCCTCCTCCCTCCTCCTCCCTCCTCCTCCCTCCTCCTCCCTCCTCCCTTCTCCACTAGTCAGCTACCGCGCAGGGATCAGCGCGTGCGAGAGGGGTCGACGACTGCAGCAGGCCCTGTCGCTCTTCGGCGAGCTGGGGGAGGCGGCGCGCGGAGGCTGGAGCCCGACGTCGACAGCCACGGCGCTCGCGTCACCGCGCGCGAGCAAGGCAGGCAGTGGCAGGAGGCTCCTCCGATGCCCGGCGAGGTGCAGGAGGCAGCGCTCGAGCCGAGTGCTGCTGGCCGCAGCTTTGGCGTCAACAGCGCGAGCGTGAGGAGCGATCCTTTGGCAGCAGGCCTCGTCGCTGGAGCGCGTGAAGCGGGAGGAGCCGAGGCAGGAGCCCAGCGCCATCAGCTGCAGCGGTGGGGCCCGCGAGTGCGAGAACGGGCTTCCGCCGGACAGCAGGCGCTACCATTGGTCGGAAGCCGGGCAAGGGCTGCTAAATCCGTGGCTGCTAAGATCGACCTCCGGGAAGTCGTCTTCGTCATTCCGGGAAGGAGCTCGTTGACTTTTTCTCGTGCCGCGCCTCATTCCGGGAAGTTATTTTTTCCTTCCGGGAGGGCCGTTTTAGCAGTCACGGTTTTAGCAGCCCTCGCCCAGCTTCCGAATTGGGCAGCGAGGTGTGAGAGGAGCAGTCTTGCACAGAGGTCATGAGCCAGAATACTTGGATCGGCGGCTACGGCACGGAAGCGCGTGATGCGGCGGCAGGCCGCGTCGTTGCTCGACAAGTTGTGGGAGGCGAAGTTGGATCCAAGCGCCGTCAGCTACGACGCTGGGATCCATGCGAGCGGGAAGGCTGGTCTGGGAGCTGCATTCTCAGTTTTTCCGTCCCGTGCGTGGTGACTGCTGTGCAATCGGCTGGCAAATAACGCTACCCACAGGCCATGCACGGCGTCAAATCGACCAGCTAGCGAGCATCACTGCATCTTCGCCGCACCTCGGATGCTTACACTTAAGATGTCGCCTCCGCTGGCGAGCTATGGGGAGCGAGTCTGGAGTTGGACCCGGTCGGCTTCAGCACCGGGCCCAGGGCGCGCGAGAGGGGCGATGAGAAGCGGGAGAGGCCAAGTCGCTGCCCCTCGCGGCAGCGGGGACGGAGGCAAGAAGGGCGTCATCGATTCCTGGGGCAGCTCCTCCTCCTCCTCCTCCTCCTCCTCCTTGGCGAAGCGTCCAGGCTTACCTATAGGCCCACCAAAGAAAGTTCTAAGGGCTTTTTGTGCTCTGCACGAAGTCTTCGCAGAACATTTCTGGCTGGGACTGTCTCGTTTTAACGCATCGGGCGTATGTTCTGAGAACATTGTCTTGGTTCTTCGAACATTTTTGGGTTCTAAGAACATTCCGTGGTAGGCCTATAGGAATGCCGGGACGGTCGGTCCCTGCTCAATATCCGTTCTTTGTCATGTTGTGCCTTCTCTTCCTTCCGTGGGGCAGCTCTGCTTCACGGCGGCACTGTTTCTGCAGGCGAGCATCTGAGCAAGAGACCTCCTCTGGGCTGGCGTTTCTTGACCAGCTCGCCAGGAGGCTGGCCCGGTTTCTTGGACACGTTCGCCCCTGCAGCGCAATCACGAAACATTGGCCCAGGTTGTAAACTTCCAGCAGGCTAGCCTCGTTTTTTAGATTCTAATCTTCTTACTTTTAGATCGCATGTTAGGCTGTGTGACATTCGTGTGGCAACCTGATGGTTGTTCGACGTGATGTGATCCGCTCGCCAGAAGCGAGCTACAAGCCTTCGGGATAAGTGGACAAGTGCCCAACCATGTTGCCATGCGCGTCCAGCTGGCGAGGTAATTTCTGAAGGTATTGAACGAATGAAGACGCCCTTCGCAAAGGTTTGCTTGCCAGACGTCAGGGTTTCAGGATACGTTTCGAACAAGTAGGTGTCAAGTCCCGACCATTTTGAGTGATTCGCGCGGCAGCAGTAGAATCGGATCCGGCTGCCTTCGGCAAGTCCTGCACAGTGCTAGTCAAACACACGAAGCGTCACGCGTTACAGCTCAGCACTATGGGCTAGTATTGCCACAGTGCTACGCCGTAACGTGTCACACCTATGCGCCGAGGCTGTGGAGAAGAGACATTTGGAAAGGAATGTTCATATTAATTTGATCATAATCAGAAGACGCATGTTGGTGAGGAGAAGATGAGCAGACGCACCGTGGTGGACGAGGGAGATGAAGAGCATGATTAACCTGATGCTGATGATGTCAATGATGCCAATGCTGCTGATGATGGTGATGATGAGTATGGAAATGATGATGATGACGACGGTGACGGTGATGGTGGTGATGGTGATGGCTTTGATGATGACGATGCTGATGACGATGATGATGGTGATGATGCTGATGAAGATGACGATGCTGCTGATGATGCTGCTGATGATGATGTTTAGGAGTAATAAGAGGATGCTGATGGTGAGGATGCTGATGATGACGATGCTGATGATGATTCTGACCATGATGATGCTGATGATGCTGATGATGATGCTGACGCTGATGCTGATGCTGATGATGTTCATGATGATACTCATGATGAGGACGATGATGATACTGATGATGATCATGATGATCATGATGATGGTGTTGATGATGACGAAGGTGATACTGATGATGATGCTGATGATGCTGCTGATGTTGATACTGATGCTGATGATGCTGACGATGAGGATGCTGCTGCTGCTGCTGATGATGATGAGGATGATGCTGGTGATGATGATGATGATGATGATGCTGATGATGCTGATTATGATGATAATGATGGTGAGTATGATGCTGATGATGATGATGCTGCTGCTGCTGATGATGATGATGATGGTGGTGGTGGTGATGATGATGATGATGATGGTGACGACGAGGTGAAGGAGGAAGAGTAGTAGTAATAGTAGTAGTAGTAGTAGTAGTAGTAGTAGTCGTAGTCGTAGTCGTAGTCGTAGTCGTAGTCGTAGTCGTAGTCGTAGTCGTAAGTCGTAGTCGTAGTCGTAGTCGTAGTCGTAGTCGTAGTCGTAGTCGTAGTCGTCGTAGTAGTAGTAGTAGTAGTAGTAGTAGTAGTCGTCGTAGTCGTAGTCGTCGTCCGTCGCGTCGTCGTCGTCGACGTCGTCGTCGTAGTAAAAAAAAAATAATAGTAGTAAGTTTAGTAGTAGTAGTGGTAGTAGTAGTATAGTAGTAGTAGTAGCAAGAAGAGTAATAGTAAGCAGTAAGTAGTCAGTAGTAGTAGTAGTAGTAGGAGTAGTAGGAGTAGTAAGTAAGTAAGATAGAAGTCCGTAGTAGTAGTAGTAGTAGTAGTAGTATAGTAGTATAGTAAAGTAGTAGTAGTAGTAGCAAAAGTAGTAGTAGTAGAGTAGTAAGTAGTAATAGTAGTAGTAGTAGTAGTACAGTAGTAGTAGTAGTAGTATAGTAGTAAGAAGTAAGTAGTAGAATAGTAGTATGTAGTAGTAAGTAGTAGTAAGGAGGAGGAGGAAGGAGGAGGAGGAGAAGGAAGAGGAGGATGAGGATGAGGATGAGGACGAGCATGAGGAGGAGGAGGAGGAGGAGGAGGAGGAGGTGGAGGACATGTGTCACATTCAGTTTTCACTTCTTGAGGAGCTCTTATGGAGCTTCTTCGGGCCGCCTTGGGGCTGGCTTCGGCTCCTGCGGGGCAGTCTTGGGGCTCTAGGGGTCCTCTTGGGCCGCTCTGGGCTGGCCCTGGGGCCCTTCTAGTTCCCCCTCTTGGGGGCTCTCTTGGTGCCCCCTTGGGGTCCCCTTGGGCTCCCTGAGGCCGTTTTGGGCCCCTCGCTGTGTCCGTCCCGGACCGTCGAGGGGAGAGCCCCCTCCTCCTTCTCCTCATCCTCCTCCTCCTCCTTCTCCTCCTCCTTCTCCTCCTCCTCGTCCTCCTCCTCCTCCTCCTCCTCGTCCTCCTCCTCCTTGCCCCCAACCTCCTCCGCCGTCGTTGAAATCGCCGTGGCGCTTTCCTCGGGGCCGTTCCGGCGCCCATCCCGGGGCTGTTTCTGGGGCCTCTTATCGGGGGTTGCTGTGGTGCCCCCCTGGCCCAAGGTGCTCACAGAATTTGCTTCTTTCTGGGGCCCCTGGCCCCCCTGGGTCTCGTGATGGGGTGCTGTGGAGGCCGTTGGGGCCTCCTCGGAAGTTCTGGGGGCACCCTGGGCCAGGGGCACTTCAACACCCGATCTTTGGATGCCTCTGGGGCTGCCTGGTGCTGCAGGAAGCCTGAAGAGGTAACCGCGCAGCTTACTGCGTTGGCCTCACGGCCATCGGGAAACGCAGCACATGCCGTGTGCAAAGCGTCCGTGTTAGCACGCTATGTGTTGGCTCAACTGATCGGCCAACATATTGGCGAAAGTGTTGCGCCAGACGTTCGTTTTCAATCTGCGTGTTGAGTTCCGTGTCGATTGGCTACGGGCTGCGTGTTGCGTATTGGGGTGGCTAAGCCGAAGAGGTAGCCACGCAACTAATTGCCAAGGCCGTAAGGCCGGTGCCGCCGACCCTGAAGGGGGGCGACGACGAGGGCGACGACGACGATGATGACGACGACGGCGGCGGCGGCGACGACGACGACGACGCTGACGAGTGCGACGACGACGACGACGTTGGTGGCGGTGGCGGCGACGGCGACGGCGACGGCGACGGCAACGACGAACAACAGTGAAACACGACGGACAATGATTGATTTTGCCATGTCAGGGTTCTTTTGGGATTGCTCATGGGTCACTCTTGGGGGCCTCTTGGGGTCTTATTGAGCGCCTCTTGGGGCCTCCTGGGGACCTCTTGGGGCGGAAGGCTCGACGAACTGTGGGTTGGTGTTCCTACTTTCGGGAGCCTCTTGGGCCTTCTTGAGGCCCTCTTTGGCCGTCCTGTCCTCGGGGCCTCTTGGGCTGTCTTGGGCCGTCTTGGGGCCGTCGTGGGCCGTTTTAGGACGCTTTCGGTTGCCTCTCGGGCCGTCTTGGTGCGATGTGAGCTTCCTGGGCCGTCTTGGAGCGTCGGAAGCGAAAGGACGCAAGAAACATATAACAACTTCATGAACATGGAGTGTTGTCCCATGGTGCCCTCTTGGGGCTCCTCCTGGAGCTTTCTTTGGGCGTTTCGGGGGGTTCGAGGCCGTCTTGTGGGTATCCTGGGCCGTCTTGGAGCGATCGTGGGCTGCCTTCAGGGCCCTCTTGGGAGAGCGACCCGCGGTGCAGGTGGGCCCGAGACGTCTGGGAGGCAGGGCATCGAAGGGGAGAGAGCACTTCTTCCCCGGGGGGGGGGGGCGGCGGTCGAGCCCACGAGGACCTCCCCCCCCCCTTGGTTTTTGAACTCGGGAGGGGGGGGGCGGCGGTCGAGCCCACGAGGACCTCCCCCCCCCCCTTGGTTTTCGAGCTCGGGAGGGGGCGCTGGGAGCAGCGTCTTCTTGCCGGGGCTCGTCGCCTCGGGTTCGCGCGGCGCCGGTGCTGGTAACTAACAGGGGCCCGCGGCCTCGGGTGCGCGCGGGCCCACGCTCTGCAGCGGCTCGTGGCTTCGGGAGAGCGCGCCCCACGTTTATTCAGATGGTCAAAATTTTGGGAAGGACGAGGACAGGACGAGAGGGGGAAGGAGGAGGATGAGGAGGAGGAGGGCGGAGGGAGGAGGAGGAGAAAAGCAGGGGAAGAAGAGGATGATGAGGACGAGAGGAGGAGAAGGAGAAGCAGGAGGAGAGAAGAGAGAGAGGAGCGGAGGAGGAGGAGGCGGAGGAGCGGGGGAGAGGAGGAGGGGGAGGAGGATGAGGATGGAGAGGAAGTATGAGGACGAGGACGAGGACGAGGACGAGGAGGAGAAGGAGGAGGGGGAGGAGAAGGAGGATGAGGAGGAGGAGGGGGAGGGAGGAAGGGGAGGAGGAGGAGGAAGAGGAGGTTCTCCACTGGAGGTTGTGGCCTCGGGAGCGCGGGCCAATCGTTTTTGTTGGGGGGAATGTGGCCTCGCCAGCGTGGATGCTAAATTGTTATACGAGGGACGGGAGGGACCTTCATAGAGTGGTGGAAGTCGACTCATGGAGAGGAAGCATGCTGCCAAATGAATGGTAAAACATGTATGACACATTGTTAGAACATGTTCCACACATGTTGAGCACATCTTTAATTCAACGATAGGATTGTTAAAGTGTCCATTACCATGGCATCCACAATCATAGAGAGGACTACGCAAGCCCTGCCAGACAGCACTTGGCAGTGGGGCACGGTGGCGGGCTGGGGTCTTCGTAATGGATGGCGATGTCCTGAGGGATGGTAAGGCCCTTCTCCCAGCTCGACCTTGGGCACAGCAGCTACTGCTTGCCTTGGACGTGCGAGCAGGGAGTGAGGGTGAGGACCCGGCCCGCGCCAGCCTGGCCGAGTCCACGCCCGGGGACAGCGCCTGCGGAATCCAGATCTCCGACCTTACGATGTTGTTCAATCCAGGGCGTTCTTCGGCGGCGAGCGAGGGGGGGGGAAGTGAGAAGGACAAGGCCTTCTCAGAAGGCGGCGGGGCTGCCCAGAAGCCCCCGCTCCTTCTGAGAAGCGTGGAGCGTGGAGTGCCCTCGGGGAGGGCCCAGAAGACTTCGCAGACGGCTGGGGAACTTCAAAGCCTCCCTAGAAGTCCTTCTTTCTCCTTCTCACTTCCCCCCAGGGTCGCCGCCGAGTCAACAAATCGAGACGGTGGGTTCCGCGATCCTTGGCATTTGGAGTGCGCCCTTGGGCTTTCTCGGGCCGTCGGAGAGCGGGTCCCGAGGACCAAAACTTGCCCCCAAGCTAGCCCCGCGCGTTCTCCGCGGCCCCGCGCGGAGCAGGGTCCAGGAGGAGGAGGAGGAGGAGGAGGAGGAGGAGGAGGAGGAGGAGGAGTGAGGAAGGAGGAGGAGGAGGAGGGGGAGGGAGGAGAGGATGGAGGAGGAGGAGGGGAGGGGGAGGAGGAGGTGGAGGAGGAGGAGGAGGTAGGAGGAGGGCAGGAGGTAGCAGGAGGAGGAGGAGGAGGAGAGGAGGAATAAAGGAGGCATGTGGAGGTGGAGGAGGAGGAGGAGGAGGAGGAGGAGGAAAAGGCAGAGGTGGAGGAGGAGAAGGAGGAGGAAAGGAGGAGGAGGATTAGGAGGAGAAGGAGGAGGAAGGAGGTGGATGATGCGGAGGGCATGGCAGAGGTGGAGGAAGATGAGGAGGAGGAAGAGCAGCAAGAAAAGAGAAGGAGGAGGGAGAAGGTGCAGGAGGAGGAGGAGGAGGAGGAGGAGGAGGAGGAGGAGGAGGAGGAGGGAGTCCTTTCTCGATTTCGGCAGCTGAGAGCCGCCCGCGCGCCCCGCTCCGGTTTCGGCATCCGGAGGGGCCTTCTTCGGGCCCGGGGCCCAATTTGTGGCCGGCGGGCACGCGGCCTGGACGCAGCTCTGCCCCTTGGGGTGGGTGGGGGTCCTCGGGCGGGGCTCTCGGCATCACTTGCACGCGTTAATTAATTTTTCTTTATGTTTGACGTGTTATTTAATGTGTGTGTGTGTGTGTGTGTGTGATTCCTTGTGTCTGTGTGTAGTTGTGCTGGTGTTTCTTGTAGCGTGCGTGCGTGCGTGCGTGCGTGCGTGCGTGCGTGCGTGCGTGCGTGCGTGCGTGCGTGCGTGCGTGTGTCTGTGTGTGTGTGCGTGTGTGCGTGCGTGCGTGCGTGCGTGTGTGTGTGTGTGTCTGTCTGTGTGTGTGTCTGTGTATAGGTGTGTGTGTGTGTGCGTGTTTTGTCCCAAGCATCCCGTGGTGTTGGGTCATCGTTTTGGTGAGAGAGCGCCCCGCGCCCCTCCCTCCTCCTCCCACTGCCCCCTCCACCCCTCCTCGCCTCCTCCATCGTCGCACCCCTCACGCGTTTCGTGGCCGCATAGGGAGCTCCGCCGAGTGCCTCTGTCTCGCAGTTCACATGCGGGCGTCACTCCCGCTTCGGCACGCAATCACACGTCTCGTGGCCCGATAGGGGGTTCCATCGGGCGTCACGTCCGTTTCGGCACAGTCCTCACACGGGTCGTGGCCCCATCAGGGGGCTCCGCCGAGTGCCTCTGTGACGCAGTTCGCATGCGGTTCCCCCCCACCCTGTCCGGCACGCTCCTCACACGTTTCGTGGCCCCATTGGGAGCTCCACCGAGTGCCTCCGTGGCGCAGTTCGCATGCGGTTCCCCCCCACCCTGTCCGGCACACTCCTCACACGTTTCATGGCCCCATTGGGAGCTCCACCGAGTGCCTCCGTGGCGCAGTTCGCATGCGGTTCCCCATTGTTTACGGCACACAACTTACACGTTTGGTGGCCCCACAGGGAGCTTCACCGAGCGCCTCCGTTGCGCAGTTCGCGTATGGTTCCCCACCCGCTCGGCACACCCTTCACGCGTTTCGTGGCCCCACAGCGAGCTCCACCAGAAGCGATAGCCACAACGCGGTATCCACAATTGCATATGGTTGGGCTCTTCGTCAGGATAATTTTCCCGGCGAGGGCCATCGAGGAGCATCTTGGCCCATCTCGCGGAAATCGGCGGCGATCGAGGCGGGAAGGGAGAAGGAGGAAGGCGGCGGGGCTTCTCAGAAGCGTTCCAGCATTCTGAGAAGTTTTCTGTGCGCCTTCGAGGAAGGCTTAGAAAACTTATCAGAAGGCCAGGGGACTTCGGAGCCTTCTGAGAAGGCCCGCCGCCTAGACGTGCGAATCCGAAACATGCACGGGGAATGGACGTCCGAGGCATGGCGAGGTCTAGGACAGGGGTCAAGGTCTTTTCCGACGCGTTCCGGCACGCTCTCAGAGCCTTACGGCACGCTCTGAACAGGCCACGGCGCCCGATACATCCTCCAGAGCCGCCGGATCTCAGGGATTCTCGATTTTTCCCCATCCGGATTTGTCCTCCTAGCTTCGTCTCAGGCCAGGACCTCTGGGGCCCTCGCATCGGGCGAAGCTCGTGTGGGGCCAACCCCGAGCAACGAACTCTCTGGATGGGAGGAGGGGCAGGAGTGTTTGGGGGGGGGGCAGCAGGATCGGCGGTGAAATTTGGGCCCTCCCCTCGCCGATACACGATCCAAGTAACTCGATGGGCGGGGGAGGGTAGGGTTCGGAACTCGTCGAACACGCGGCGAACTCTAAACCCTACCCCCTCCTCCCATCGATTCAGGAGAGTCGATGGTTGGCGGGGTGGATTTCGGATGTCGCCACCTACACCCATCAGATATCGTAAGGGAAACACGGAAGCTTCAATGGATTCCAGATTTCTTGCCAAGACGCCAAGCATCTGGATTAGACTCTGGGCGTTCTCTCCGAGTTTTGCCAGTAGAACATTCGTGCATCTGGACCTGGATTCCTGGCCTAAGAAAACGCTTGTAGCGCAGGCCATCTGCTTAGCGTAGAACTCTCTTGGCTCCTACGCTTAATTAAGTCGGGCACGTCCCTCAACGGGAGGAATATTCAAACATAGTCGAAACAAATAGTCAGGGGACGATTGTTTGATCATTTGTTGGCGATGTTTTTTTGGGGGGGGGGAATTTTGAATTTGTCGTCCAAAATCCGCCTGTAGGATGACACGCCCGACCTGACGCCTGTAGCGCAGGCCATCTTCTCCGCGTAGAACTAGCTCTCTTGGCTCCCACGCAGGGGTGCACAGCAGCAGCCCGAGGAGTGGCACGCGGGGGGAGGAGGACGGAGACGCGCGATGCCGCGGCGGTGCCGCGGCGGCCGTGCTCGCGAGGGAAGCGCGCCCGCGGCGTGCGCCCGAAGCGGCGCAGCACACGTCATCGTTGTTTTATTCCTCGCTTGGCCGATCGGCGCGGGCCCTCGCACCCACTCCCCCTCCTCCCCCCGCCCCTCCCCCACTGGAGTGGATCCTGGCTGTTTTTCGGCGCCTGTTTCGAGCAGCTGGAGCCTCCCCAAGGGGACGCACGGCCCCAGACAGTCGCACTCTGTAGGCAGACGTCCGGAGCCGGACCCCCCCCCCCTATCCCCCCCCCCTTCCGCCCAATGTCGAAACGTTCACCTTTACAGCCCCACGATCGAGGGGAGGAGGAGGAGGAGGAGGAGGAGGAGGAGGAGTAGAGGAGGAGGAGGAGGAGGAGGAGGAGGAGGAGGAGGAGGAGGAGGACACGGGGGGGAAGAGAAGGCCGTAGTCTCCACGTGAGCGACGCAACACATCGAATGAGAAGAAACGGCATGAACATAAGCTAATGGCGCTCCGCGCGGATTTCTTGGATCCGCGCTGGGATCCCCCGGTCCGGCGGCGCCTCAGGCGCCGCCCCTGGCGCGCTCCGCGCGCCAGGGAGGGGGGGGGTCTAGTGCAGATCCAGAAGATCCGCGCGGAGCGCCACAAGTTTATGTTGACGCCGTTTTTTCTTCTCCCAGCAAAAAGCGCCGTCTGCGCCGACATTGGCGCGCAAGCTGCTCGGGCAAGGTCGCGCGTAAGCGCCCTCGTCTCCAGTGCAGCGTGCCGCGCTGGCAGCCCACGTCAGCCGCCGCGGAAGCTCGCTGTGCCATCTCGCGAAACACTTTTTTTTACCGTCGCTCACGTGAAGAGTAGTCTCCACACCTGAAGTCCCCCCTCCCTGAGCCAAGGCGCCTTGGCGCCTTGGTCAAGTCCGTCGAGAGCTTCGAGGCCCTGAACAAGGTGCAAGCCGTGGTGCTGGACGGCAGGAGGAGGACGAGGAGGAGGAAGGGGAGGACGAGGAGGAGGAGGAGAAGGCGAATGACGAAGGAGAGGAGGAGGAGGAGGAGGAGGAGGAGGAGGCGGAAAATAAAGAGGAGGAAACGCATGGGCGCATGGATAATTACGAGGAAGAGCAGCAGCCGCAGCAGCAGCAGCAGCAGCGGAGGAGTTGGAGGAGGAGGACCAGGAGCAGACTGGGGAAGGGAGCGGTCCTCCCTCTCCCCCGCTCCCTCGATCCCCTCCTCCATCCTCGATCCTCGATCCACCCCTCCCTCCTCTACCCGGACATGCGGCGTCCTGATCTAGCACGGCGTCCTTGGCAGTCCCTACCCTCTCCCTGGGACTGGCTCGTCGTCCCGAGTCGTCTGTTGACGGTCCCGAGGCCTGGCGAGGGCCCCCAGGGGCCGAGACTCGTGAGACATTAGCCGTCCTGATTTTTTTGCAGCGCGATCCTGTCTGGCTGTCCTCCTTGCAGAGGGGGTGCCCCCGCCTCGGCCCGGCCGGCGCCGGCAGGACAAGACTGGGACGCTGACGTGCGGGCGGCCCTCCGTGGTCGCGTCCCAGGGCTTCGACAGCGCCGGCAGGCTGTGGCTATCGCGGCCGCCTGGCGGCGCTCGAGCCGACGCCAGCGCCCCCTGCAGTCAAGCAGTGGCGAAGCGTCCTGGCGTGCCTAATGAGGCCTACCAAAGAATTCTCTGAGAACCGTATGTGGTTTCCGCGACATGTTATTCGAACATTTCTGGCTGGGGCTGTCTTGCTTTGACACACCGGGCTTCTGTCCTAAGAACGTCGCTTTTGTTCTTTGAGGACATTTTTGGGTTCTACGAGCATGCTGTGGCAGGCCTGCAGAAGTGCCTGGACGGTCGCTCCCCTGCGCAACCCAGGGACCCAGAGATGCGGCGTAGGGGAGATATCAAGACGGAGGTTCCTGTTCGCCGCTCTCGGCCTCTGAAGCCCTCGCTGGGCCGTGGGTCCGTACTGAAAACCTCCGGCCCTGGGGAGTGGGTCGAGACTTCTGGGGAATGGGTCCCCAGACCTCCAACGCATCGAAAAAATCAAGACGAGGGTCTTTCTCGATTTTCGGCCTCCAGCGGCCCTCGCCGGGCCCGGGGACCGTCAAAGAACACGACTCGGCATGAAAAACCGGTCCTGGGGCAAGGGTCGAGACATCTCCGGGGACCCCGTATTGAAAAAAGTCAGGACCTCGGATCTCGGGGGATCCGAGGCGCCGCACCCCCAGATCCTGGCGTGGCAAGTCTGTCGCAGCGGGCGCTGCCGCTCGGATGTGCGGGTCCCGGGGCCCTCGCAGAGCGAAAGGGCTCCAGAAACAGATGCGGTCCGGGGCTCTCGTCGGGATGTTTTTTTGTTCTCGATGCTCAATGTTTTTTTCACGACGTCGGATCTCAGGGTGGAACGGCCGGGTTTAGGCTATGTTCGGCTCGGGGTCACGGGTCCGTCAAGAAACAGTGGAGGATTCAGGGCCAGTCGCCCAGGCCTCTGGGGGTCCACGTGCATCGAAACAAGTTGGAGCGCCGGATGTCTGGTGTCGTCTTCGTGCCCAGGTCTCTCCTGCGGTGTGGACGTCGCTCTTTCGCACACCGGCTCGCCCCTGTTCTCTGCTCCTCCTGTAGACGCAGTCACCGCAGGGCCTCACTTCGGGGGGTGCTAGAGGCTGGAGGGCAGTCGTCCGGTGGTGAGTTTCCCATACTTCGGAAGCATGAGAAACCACACCAATTGCGTGTGTGTGTGTGTGTGTGTGTGTGTGTGTGTGTGTGTGCGTGTGCGTGTGCGTGTGCGTGTGCGTGCGTGCGTGCGTGCGTGTGTGTGTGTGTGTGCGTGTGTGTGTGTGTGTGTGCGTGTCTGTGTGTATGTGTCTTCTGTGGTGATTCCTGGCTTCCTACACCTCGCGGGCCTCGGAGAGGCTGGGCCTCCCGCCCTATAGGCACAGGAGGAAGGCAGGACCTGCCGTCGCCGCCTCTCCCCCCGGCAGGGCGCCCGCGATGCCCCCGGAGAGAGCGGGGGCACGGCGGGCAGATGGCCGTCGCGGAGGCCCCCTCGCAGCACCCGCTGGCCCAGGCGCTCGTGCGGGCGGCGCGGGAGGCGCCCTCCGCCGCGGCCCTGCGGCCGTCGCGCTCGCCGTGGCGGCCGCCGCCGCGCTCGCCGCCGTCGCCGCTGCCGCCGCCGCCGCCTCCTCCTCCCCCCCTCCTCCTCCTCCTCCTCCTCCTCCCCCTCCTCCTCCTCCTCCTCCTCCTCCTCCTCATCGTACTCCTCGCTCCCCCTCCTCGTCATCGCAACGATCCTCGTGGTCGTCGTCGTCGTCGTCGTCGTCGTCTTCGTCGCCGCCGTCCGAGCGTCCGCTCTCGCCCGTGCTGGGGGCCCTTCCTGGGGGTGGGCCTCTTGTGGCCACGGCCGGGGGCGGCGGAGAACAGCTGGCTGGGATCATGTCTGGGAGCTGGTGGAGAACAGCCGGTTGGGAAAGAACGCCGTGAACAAAAACTGTTGGCGCTCCGCGCGGATTCCTCGGATCCGCGCCGGGACCCCCTGGCGGCGCCTCCAGCGCCGCCCTTGGCGCGCTCCGCGCGTCAGGGAGGGGGGCGCAGCGCAAATCCAAGAAATCTGCGCGCACCGTCGACAGCTTATGTTTGTGTGCCCTTCTCTTCCTCTATTTTGGGCGAATGCCGCGTTCGTTGTGGTCGCCGTCGTCGTCGTTGCCCAGGTCGTTGCTGAAGTTGTCGTCTAGGTCGTCGTCTTGGTCGTCATCTAGGTCGTCGTCCTCGTCGTCGTCGTCTGGGTCGCCTAGGTCGTCGTCGTCATCTATGTCTATGTCGTCGTCGTCGTCTTCTTCTTCGTCGTCGTCTAGTTCAACGTCGTTTTCTAGGTCATCGTCGTCGTCGTTGTCTATGTCGCCGTCGTCGTAGTCGTCGTCGTCGTCGTCGTCTAGGTCGTCGTCGTCGTCGAGGGATGATGATTCCGAGTCTTGGAATTATCTATGTCCACCGCCTTGGAAAGCGATCTTCTTGGACATCGGGGGGCGGTGTACATGGATATCATCGGGTCACTTGTCTGTCAAAAACCCAGTATCCGCCGCCCACTGAGACCCAACGTGGGATTCCCAGGCGGTTGGTAATTATGCATCAGTCCACGCCTCGCAATGGAGATGAAGATGCATATGAAGAAGAAGATGATGATGATGACGATGATGATGACAACGAACATGTCGACGACGCCGGTGATCATCAATTACTTACGGTGATGATGGCGATGACGATTGGTGTGATGATGATGGTGATGCTGATGATGGTGATGACGATGGTGATGAGTATGATGCTGATGATGAATATGGCGTTGATGATGATGGTGCTGCTGCTGATGATGATGAAGGAGATGACAATGAGCTGCTGCTGATGATGATTGTGATCCTGATGATGATGATGAAGATGACGATGCAGATGACGATGACTATGATGATGATGATGATGATCGTCTTGATGATGAGGAAGATTATGAGGATGATGATGATGATGATGATGATGATGGTGATGGTGGTGGTGATGGTGACGATGATGATGGCGATGGCGCTGGCGATGGTGATGGTGATCAGGATGAGGATGATGATACTGATGATGACGACGATGACGATGATGATGCTGATGCTGATGCTGATCATGATGATGATGATAATTATGATGATGATGCTGATGATGATGAATCTTGCTGTGATGATGATGGTGCTGCTGCTGATCATGCTTGTGATGATCACGATGACGATGACGATGAAGATGACGATGACGATGACGATGATGATGATGAGGAGCAGGAGGTGGAGGATGAGAATGAGGATCATGATTATGCTAAGGATGATGATGTTGGTGATGATGATGATGAAGGCGATGATGATGCTGATGATGACGACGATGATGATGATGATGACGATGGAGATGGCGATGACCATGATGATGATGATGATGAGGAGGAGGATGCGGATGAGGATGATGATTATAGTGAGGATGATTATGTTGGTGATGATGATGAAGGCGTTGATATGCTGATGGTGATGACGAATTTGATGATGAGGGGGTGGACGATTATGATGATGATGATGATGATGATGATGATGATGATGATGATGATGAT